TTTCGAAAGGAAGAAGTGTATGTATGTGTGTATGCGTGTGCGAGTGCGTGAAGGTAATTACACATTATTTTATTTTACTGATATAATATCTCATGCACGGCGAATCTCGGTATTCAATGTCGTAATGTTCACCTTTTTGACTGAATATCAAATGACTCACAAGTTGATGATTATACGACTTCCTCGACAATTAATAATAATTTCTTTTTATATTACCGATCATTAAAATCTGGCAAAGGTACCAGTAATAGATTTCGTGGGCGAAGACCCAGCGAAAATAGAATATTGATCTGATTCATAAAGGCATTATGCCAAGCATATAGCTACTGAACCTATCAAAGTGTTGGGGGAATAATGTGTGATCGCATTCACCTTTTATTAAACAACAGTATTTTCCTTACATTTAAAAGTCATCAAAAACACAAGGTTAAATCAAAATATCACTATGTCTAACGGCCGGGCATTTAAACATATTTTTCAACTCGTATCAATATAATTTAAATTGATTAAAGTGAGTTGTTATTTGGACAAAAAAACTCAGAAATGTTCTTTTACCATGTACATGAGAGGATATTTTTCGAATAAAAATAGAAGAAGAAATTACATTAGCTGCACATTCTCTACACATCTATTATAGTGTGTGTGTTTCTGTGTGTTTGAGTGCGTGTGTATATGTATATATATGCATAACGATTATGGAAGAACTCAAAATCGACTTGAAATGACCTGTTAAGATTACGCATAACTTTTTTTTTCTAGGTTTACAGAGTGGTAACTACATAATACACAACCCTTATTATTTAAAACTTGTTAAGGAGTATCACTTACAGTTTGCTTATCTGTGTCAATTACAAGTTGTCAAATCGGCATCACCTGTAAAGACAATATCAATTATCACAGTAATATGTGGTTTCCTAAAATGGTATTAGCTTCTAGCAGGTGTTTAATGGCGGATATTTTTCGCTCGTTCGTTTAGCACCTTTACAACTTGTATTTATTCACGATAATAAATTGCATTGCTGTTTTGATGAGTTTATTGAATGCGACCATGATATTTAAAAATGAAAAGAAGCTTATTATTCTGCTTTCTTTGAAAAAAATAACCTATACCTTTATGCCTATTTGTAATCATGTATCAATAAAATCATTCCATTTTGCTACGTTATTATTGTAAACGTTGTTCAAAAGGCATATTATAACTTCCATTACTACATCACATACAAAAGGGGAAGATACAAACATATGTTCAAAATTATATAATCGGTCATAGATTACATATTAAAGAATAAGAATTACATCAGTTATAACTAATACAAGTAAAATAAAAGTATTTTAAAAAAATGATTTTTGTTGGTTTTCCATGATATGAAACTTGATATAATGTAAACTGAAGTATCGTTAAGTGTCAAGAATAGTATATGGAGGAATTCATGGTATTTAAGAGCTTGCCCTATCGGCTTACATCGGTCTCATAATTTTAAAGCTGCATTCATGCAACAAAATAGAATATTCAATTTTCTAAGCAATAAATCAAAATACATCTGTGTTTTAATCAAGTAGGCGTATTTCTGATGAGATGAAGTATGATATTGCTATGATATAGTATGATATAGTTTTACACGGTAATATTTTCTTTCATGTGTTTTAAAGCAATTATCTTTCAATATTCACCCGTAAACAGGATATTACTATGGTGTCTTATAAGCGATAAACTGTCTTTTAATATCACGTACTCAATTAACAAATTAGCAACTCCAGCATAACAGCCTCGACATGTGAAAAAGCGGGATCAGGTAGGGGAAATGAACTGGGTGTAGCAAGTGACGTAGAAGTTTTCAGGCATTGAAGGAGAATCGACATCATAGGGCGAGGGCACCGATCTTTATGAGAAAAAAAAATCCTGAATAAAATTATAAATTACCCGCAATAAATTAAGGGAAGCGTTGTAGGTTGGGGTCAATGCGTCTTAGTTTTATGTTCTCTTTCCCTCTCTATCAATTCTCTTCATTCAGTTTTTGCTATTAGATATTTTTCTGGGGGGGGGGGGCAATTAAGTGCCCCATGTTCTCTGTCGCTACGACACAGGGTGTACACATCCTGTGCACGGAGGGCTTGCGGTACGGGAAGTCGAGGGTAAAAATCAAAAATCTATTTTTGACATCGGCGTATTACCGGCGCCCTTCTGGAATCCCGTGCAGCCAGCACGTCAAAAGGATATTATAATTTCCTCATGACGTCAGCGCATATCATTTACATATTCATAGTGCACCCTTAGGGGAAAAACAGGTGAACTTGGAACTTGTCTCAGACCTATCATAAACTATATCCAACCTCACCCTTTGATAAAAGAAAACAAAAGTATGAAAGTTGGAGAGAAAACTAGATCAGAATCAGAAAATTTGAAAATGAAGAAAAAAATGTTTCCACTGTTGATAAGTGTTATGTGCACCCATACTCAAGTCTATTTGTAAGAAGATATGTTAGCCCGACCTATTGACGCCCCCCCCACAAAACACAGCAACATTTATTTTCAATTATATTGCTACAATTGTACGTCTAACTGCTTCCATTAATACATTTAATTTCATCCTTCTTTTTAAAGCTCCAACATTTTTTTCTAACTCTCATCACCTTCTCTTTGAGTTTTAAATCTTCTGTTCTATCTTGAAATTCCAAATTGCCCTGCATAATTTGACGCAATTTCTTACTTGAACATTTGGTGTTAGCCTAGCACTGCCCCTATGTATCTCTCTCTCTTTCTCCCTCTCTCTTTAACAAAAAATCTCTATTTCTATTTCTGCTTGCGTGTATTTTTGTTTATGTACCAACTTTAATAAATCTCCACTTTTCATTTTTCCACGTGCTATACCTTTTCCCTCTGTCTCTATTTTGTTCCCTCACTGAATTAAATATTACCCCTTCAATTTATGTCGCCACTAATCATTCTCATATCGAGATTCTATTGACAGGCTCGGCTACTCAAACTTATCTTTAAGAGGTACCTAAATTCTTTTTGTTGTGTAGATCACTATCAGGCCTCAACAAAGATCATATTTTGAATGTAACCTAACCTAATGTACAACAAAGGTAAGGGTCTGTAATTTTGAAACAGATTCAGGAAAGCGGAATACATTTGATTGATATCCACTCTGTAATGTAAAACATCATCATCATCATCATCATCATCATCATCATCGTCTTCATCATCCCGCGAGTCCCCTCTATGGGGGGGGGGGGGGGGGGGTCGGTTCTCCCCGTTACCGCTTTCATTCTTGTCCTGTAAAAGTAGGACAAAAACTTAATGAACAGAAAGGGTTGAAATGATCTTAATCGAAACTAAAATTCAACGTATTAAACAGCACATGGAAGTGAAACGAAACTTCTTCCTTTTAAACCAATACAAGTATAAAAAGACATGTACAATAAATGACTAAGTATTTTATAATGCTAAGCACGGGAAACGAATGTTTACTAACATGTAATACATTCAAAAATTACTATCAAACTACAAACATACGGATTTGTATATAATTACTTAGATTCAACAACGATAATCAGTACTGATTATGAGAAATTCATTAAACCGTTGTCGATATTTAAATGAGCAGACAGATCCGTAGATTGATATAAAAGATAAAATGTATTTTGTTTTGGTACAAATACATCTTCATTTATCATATAGCTATCTTAATCAAGGGATTATTTTCGAATCCACTTCATATCATATACCGTGATTTTATCTTCATGTTGCAGAAATTGTTTTTTCTCTATTATTGTCCTAATCTCCGGAGACCTAGTTAATTCTGACTCGGACCGCAGTGCTACTATGCGGTTACGAGAACGTGTCATACTACAGAGACTTGATGAGGTAGGGGATAATAATGATGACATCCGGGTATTATTTGGAAGAGGCTTCAGAAACACGGAGAAGGAAAACAAAACATTGAGAAAGAAGAAGGAGAACGATGAGAGAGAAGAGGAGGAGGAGGAGAAGAAGAAAGTACAAGAATAAGAATAAGAGTAAGAAGAAAGAAGATAAGAATGACAAAAAGAATGAGAGTAATAAGTAGCACTACTAGTAGCTGTAGTACTAGTAGCAGTAGATGTAGTAGAAGTATTAGTAATTTTAGTAGAAGAAAAAGAATGGTAAAGGGATTCAGAGAAAAAGGAGAAGAGGTGACAAGCAGAGAACGATATCAGAACTTGAGAATAAAATGGATAGAGAGAAAGAACCATACTAGTGAAGGTAGTAAACATGAATATATCTTTTAATGATATTAACCTGTAATATTTGCATGTATATATATTTATGTTACATATGCGTCTTTAACTTTAAACACAATTTAATCATTCTAGTAATTCAGCATTTTTATACATGAACATTTTTCAAAGGTGAAAAGTTCGGAAAATTAATTTCACTTGTGTCGTTCTGAAGTTCATATTATACAAAATTTCTGATTGTGTGATTACTAACTTGCAAAATACGCTTATAGTGTTTATCATTCAAGGGCAGTATCTTATCAAAACACTTCAGTCTCTGAATTTTTCTCATTTTTATTTTTTGAATATAATCTTCGCTATCTGCAATTTAATTCCAGCTTGTGAGGTGTCAGGTCATACTAACGTACCGATTAATTCCACTGGATCAGAGTTCACACGTTGATCTGCATAATGCTTCATTACATATCAAAAGCCCCATGTTTTTCTGTTTCTTTTCTCACCCCATAGAACGCGTCAAGGGCATAGATTCCAAAGGTTTCAATACCTCACGCACAGTTCTATTTTTTGCCCCCTATTTTAATCCCCTGTACGCTCATCCGGAAGAGGGGGAAAGAGACACGTGAGTCCGGGCTGAGTCACAAGTTTATAGGGGGCCTGCGAAAGGGGTGTGGCTTGCCAGACTGTTCACAGACATAGGGAGGAATGATTGACAAGTTGAGTTTGGTAACGCCCACTTTGTTTCTTGGCCGTGTGCAGAAGAAATCCGCACCCAATGGGTT